CCGGTCGGTCAAATTCCTAAAAGATATAGTTTATCTATAGATCTATCTGTTGAGCCACTCGTGATCGACTAGTTATACCGCACATTAGTTAAAATATCCCGTAATCTATCTAGAGCGAGCGTGCATGCGAGACAGATATTGTGCTCCAAACCATGCGCGCGCATGGCAGAGAGGTCTGTTCCCTACAACCTAGAGTTTTTAAAAACATGGTTTTAAGTAAAGTGTGATTTGCCAGGGGGGACTAGGATTTCCTTCTGGTCTAAACATCCCTGCTTCTGCTGAATTATTTTAATCCCCCCCGTAATTTTTTGGTCATACAGATAAGAGTATATCAGCTGTATGATGTGTTTTTACCCTGAAATGTTTAATTTCGAGAGAGAGACCCGCGCGCACAGCGAGGGAGGCTAATGCCTCGTTTCCACTGAGCGGTACGGTACGGTACAGTTCGGTTCGGTACGCAATTATTTGCGTTTCCACTGTCAAAAGTTGTGAATGGTACCAAAAAGCCGAACCGTACCGTACCACTTTTTGGGTACCCTTCCGTTGGGGTACCTAGCACAGTGGTACGGTACTAAAAGGTGGAGCTAGACTCACTGCAGAACGGTGATTGGTTGACAGAGTATCGTCACTTGCGCGTGCTACAAGGGCATTAGAAGCATACAGTTAAAATATAATACTACTGTTATTGTGTCACGAAATGTAGTTTTAAGAGTTTTTCAGGCGAGAAAGTAGTTTTTTAAAGCTCAAATCTGTGGTTTATTTATAGATTTATGATCATTTGAAGATCCATTCCAAGCAATCACCGGGTGCTCGGCGCTCAAGTACCCCGCCTGGAGCAGCCTTTACCCGGCTAGCCGTTCTGATGTTTGCCGCTGACTCTGACGTCTCTGTACAGTGGTTAAACATGAGATATAATTCGTCTTGTACAGACCTAACAGGCGATCTTTGGTCTCGTGAATCTATAATTCGTTCCCTGGCCAATAGTTTTGGCAGAAGGCTAAGTGAAGTTTCATATAGGCTATTTGAGCGCTGAATTTGTATATTTGACTGAATTGTTTGCTTTGTGATTAAAGCTTTACTGTATATATTTTTGTACCTTTTACTTATACTTTTATAATGGCTATTATTATAAAACTGAAATTCACCAAAAATAGATAGTTTTGTCATTTATTTTATTTTATTACAAGATCATCTGTAATGTTGTTTATTGCAACATTTGTACCAATGCAATATGCAATTCATTGCCTGGAATATGTTTAATATTTTTAAATTTAAACGAAAAGAGGCAGGATTGTGTTTTATATTTAGTTTTGTTATAAATATAACGTTACATACATGCAGTGAATATAATCAATAGGCTATGCGTTGCCTGAACCACATTTGTGTGCTTATAATGTTTAAAATGTATTTAAATTAAATCGAAAAGAAGCAGAGTGGTGTTTTATAACATATTTCGTTTTATTGTTGCCTAAAATGTACATAACCGGAGTAGCAGAGCGAGCTGAGTGGCGCATTCAAGAACGCGCTGTTCCATCAGCAGAATTACTGGACTCGCGTCCTCGGGATCATTCTCCTGAGTCGGACTTTGCGTGGCTACTTGGTATTGAGAAACGCCTAATGCCAGCGCTTGTTTCTTGTGACAAACATCCCGAGAAGCAAGAACAAGATCTGCTGTCTGTCATCCATTGTTGTTTACTATGTCGCTTTTGTTCGCGCGAAAATGACGTCGATCGCTTCTCTCCGGCATACACCACGCCTATCAAGTAAGGTACTGTTGGCAGTGGAAACGCGAGCCCCGATCATGGTTTAGCGACCCGACCCGAACCGTACCGTACTGAACCGTACCGTACCACTCAGTGGAAACGAGGCATTAATAAACTTGTTAAAAAGAGATCCAGCGCGAGAGAGGCAAAGAGAAACGCATGTTTTTAATTTAATTATGTTTCTTTGGACAATTTTCGTTTTGTAGGCCTACTGTTTTAATTGTTTAATTTAGCTGTAATTTCTTTGGCAATACAAATTTAAAATGTCGCAAGAATAAGATTAGCCTAGTGTTTCTTATTTTGCATCGCAAAAGAAATAAACTCTAAACAAGATGCAACCCTGTTTTAAATTAAAAAATTTAAACCTTGAAATGTTCGAACTTGGTTTCAAACTTAAGTAATTTTAGTGTTCTTTTACATTACACAATAATTTAGCAGACTAAAGACGAGCTTCTTCATTTTCATTTTCTGATGCAATCGGCTGACAATCTTCCTTCATCAGTTTTTGTCGTTTGTGCAGCGGCTGTGGTTCTACAGGAATGTAGCAAATTTATGTTGTAATGATAATCAAACAAAACTCTTGACTTTAAATAAGTAAACAGATATAAACAGTTACCTATTTAAGCATCAAGGTGGGAAAATATAAACGTAGGACAACATCGGTTAACAACATGTATGCTACATTGAGATTCGATCTCGGGTCGAATGAAGCTCCTCGAAGCTCGTGTCATTGCGTTGATCATTGAGCTGTCTTCTGTATGCTGATAAAGTTGTAAAGCCTCATTCATGTAGCCTAAATGTTTTTATTGCAATGTTTTATGTTGAAATGTTTTCATTATTTATTCAATTACATTTCAGTAGCCTAATTTCAGTATTGTGATTATGAATTATTTTAACTACATTTCACTTGTTGAATTCTTCTGCTACCAGCTTTCAATCGCTCTGAATCAGCGCGGTGCGGCAGCAGATTACACATTAGAGAGAATAAACCGGAATAAACGAACACTTTTCAGAGTCTATGATTGTAGCGCCTCTTAGCGGTAAAAGGCAGCAAATACACCACACATTTTACCGCCGCGGTGGAACGGCTGATGTGGGCATTGTCATGGCTTGCCTCGACATTTGCGTTTGAATAGCGCGCGTCCTCCGTGGGCGTGTCAGATTAACGCGTAATGAAGTGTAATGAGCTGGGGAAAAAAATACTGACAGCACTCTCTTTTCATACAGATTGCATAAACTGAGAATATTTGTTTTTTATATAAATTACTTCATTTAAAAGAAGAGAATTTAAGCTTCATAAAGAAAAACCTCTCGTGCCTGTGTGACAAGTAATCGCGGAGTTACAGTTAATCTTAGGACGCGTTTCAGAATGGACTTCACTGACAGAGAGAACGCAGAACTCGCATCATGTTTGTTTTTCTTTATTTGGTGAAAAGCACAACACTTTGTTTTTATTGTGAGTATCCACAAAAAAAATAGAAACTTAACAGGATCTAATGATGTACAACACTTATATGTAAGATCAAAATTAACCGAGTATTTTGAGTCTCTTTTACACTGATAAGAAAAAAAGCGAGACAATCGCGCCGGCGCGATAGCCGACCCCAGGGGGTTAACATATGAGCAGAAACTGTCTAAGATGTTATAGTGTTTGTTCCAATGCAAGCTATATCAAAATAATGAATCCTTAACTTTGAAATATGTATGATAAAATGTATTGGCCTACTTTAAAAAATAATACTTTATAACACATTTATGGTAAAAGACTATTTTCTTTTCAAGATGTTTCCAACTCTAACTTTGAACCAATTCTGTAGAGTGGCCCATATAACTTATTTGAACAGGATTTGTTTCCAGGTATGACTAAAAATGTGCTTTTGAATATATATATATATTTATTTTATTTTTTTTCCCTTGCATTCTTTCTTGTGTGACACACCTGAATGAAAGGCTCATTATTATGCGGGTCTTTGTCTTCTCAGGTGAGAACCACCTAATTATTCATGAGGGGGTTGGGCCGTTCACGCCCATCCGCATATTGCCTTTCCAAAACAATCTATTGTGTTATGTGAATGATTAGTCAGGATGATTTTCAGATCATTTTGAAGAAAAAACTCTAGGCGACAACATCCATTAGTCAAAAGTCTTGTGGACAGATATTTAGTATGTGTTTTGTGGCCTTATTTCAGAAACTTTAATTTTTAGTTTTTTCAATAACCATGCATAAACAATATTCTCTCAAAAATACAAACATGTACATACATGTTGCTCACATATTATGGTAGCCCTGTGTGTGCTATATAGAGTGTAATTTCACCTGTGCCATTAATATGTTTACAAGCAACTGAAAAAAGCACAAATGTCAGGGCATGTCAAAACATCTCAAGGACCCCAAAAACACCTGAGACCCCAGAGGGTTAATAAGCCGTAATTTAGAGTTTATTGAGGCAGTTAAATGTCAGTTAAAAGTGAGGATTGTACCATAATCTAAAGTGTGACCAAGTTATTTTTCTGTGGCCATGAAAAATATTCTTTCTTAGAGTTGATAATACAATCAATAATGAGAGTTTGCTGGACGAACAGGTTGATATGATATAATTGATTGATATGGTAATGTTCCCCCATATTGCCTCATAAAGAAAATCTCTTTGCAATAGATGTCTCTGTTTTTGAGAATTTCCCGTGGTCATCGGCAGCATGACACAGATGTTGAACACCACACAACAGGAGCACAGACATCCAGTGGTGTGGACAGTTTATTAAAGGTAGAACTAAACTTCTGGAAAATGGTTGTCCATGTGCAGGATTGAGAATCCCTGCTGTCAAAAAATTTAAATTCAGTACGAATACCTTGAATCTTTAAAGCATTTGAACACTTTTATTATAAGCATTGATTAAATAAATGGACACTCACATAAAACAACCATCTAGGTTAAGATGATGAAAACAAAACTCATAATGCTAAATCCTAAAAATACATTCAATGTGTGTTGTGTAAATTAACACTCTTCATTTCACTGGAGGCATGATGTCAAACAAACTTGACACTTTTCATAACAGTGCACCAGCTAACCAATGCAACTCATTTAGTTTCAGTGGGCATTAACCCTAAAGCCTAAACAGCAAAGGGGGAATCTCAGAGAAATGACCAGGACATATTGCACCTCAAAGACCTTATGGATACAGGAAATAAAACCCATTTTAAATACCAAAATATGAAATAAGACCCAGACTTTTCTTGAGAGTTTTCCGTGAGATTCTTCCTAAAAGCAGATCTGTAAGTTGATGATGTTTAGCAGGCAGCCTCTGTGGTGAAGGTGGTGTGGTCCAACAGATGCTCTGGCGGCACAATAAGCTTGAGTGCTTGATCTAAGGCCACTGCCGTCAGACCCCAGATTCGATACTTCGGACTGTGAAACACAGGGAGTGTGTACCCATAACGGTCACCAGTACGGAAGTGTGTGTATCCTCTGTTTTGGGCTTGACATAAATGCTCAAGTGTCAGGGTAAAAATCTCTTCCACCTGTCAATCAAAGAAGTGCAGTGTTACTCAACCCTTATCTCAGGACAAACAGTCTGCCATGATGTGGTAGAACTGAATGGATTGTGATGATGTAAATTGGGGAAATGTGCAGTGGTCTGCCTGTACCTCACTTGGATTAGGTCGAAAAGAGAGTCTCTCCAATGGTCCAAGATTGGCGATTACAGGCGCAATCATCATTCCAGACTGCAAATTAGGAAACATAAAATTAGATGAAGAATTGCACTGATCTTTACTTCAGAAATAGTTAAAAGCTTTCTGACACTCAACTGTGCATTCATTATTTAGAATTCCTGGGAAAATGTTGATTAAGAATGTAGAAATATAAAATATGAATGAAATATAAAACAATTTTCTAAAAAAACAAATGATTACAGGCAAAACATAAAATATTGCTATATAAAATGCCAAATGTAAACATTACATTAATAACGTTATTTTATAGTTCTGTAAAATTTTAATTTAGCAGTCAACCAATCACAAATTCAAATAGTACAGACTGTGCAAATGTGATATTGAAGCATAGCCTATCCAACAAGAGTGAAATGCCTGTGCTCAGCTGTCAAGTCATCATAGGTGAGTCACAATGGCAATGCGCTGGCGTTAGTTTTCCCGAGGATAAACTGGATATGTTACCAACTGTCAAACAATTAGGCTTACATTTCAGTGAAAATGAATAGCAGGTAATGTGCAGCTTGTTGTGTGTTTTGAAACCAGTGAAAATTGCAGGATAGTGTAGAACATGGATTCACACAACGTCACATATATCACGCACTTAAAGCGCTTCTATGAATGGAGAAAACTGAATAAAACTAAATATATAAAACAAATATAGGCCTATATGAGAAATATAGGCTATAATACAGATTAACAAACCGAAAGGAAAACATTTTCTAAAGAATTTTCGGTTCATTGTGACGAGGTTTGCTTAGAGGAAAGGACACAGAGGGCAGAAAACGACATCCTGCTTGTTTTCTGTATTTTAAAAAAGCTTTACAGTTTTGAATAATGTCTTGCTTCTGTAAGTCCGACTAATTCGATCCAAGGGCGGCATTCAAATTAGCGGTGAAGGTCACATGCGCGTTCCGTCTCTTCCAATGGCAAAGGGATTTATAATTAAATACAATACATTCTATCTTATGTATTAACTCGTTTCATCTGACTCCATAAAATGAAAGTGTTTTTCAATGATATCTGTGCATCATTAAGTATACGTTAATGTTTGACTATTCATTTTAACTCCAATGAAAATAAAGTCAAAGTCTGTTAGAATAATCAAATATAACAATTTATTATGTCAGGTAAATGTATTATAATAATTCCATAATCAATTTCATTTTCATTTCATTTATTTGTTTATTTTACAGGGACAGTGCTCATTAATTAACAGTAAAATAACTGTAAATGAGCCAGAGTTAGCTCAACAGGCTAATTTTCATCTGTTGTCCCTGGCCAGTTATTATGAAGGCAACCTAAAATCAAGATATAAAAACAAAAATGACTTTTTACAGTCCACAAATAATAACAGCATAGAAAAGTAATGATAAGACAGATACAACACACAACAATAAATAACAAGTAACATCAGCACACAACATAGCCTATAAAATGAGAGATAAACAAGTTTGACACAAGACAATCTGCTAGCAAGCAACAATTATCAGTAGGCAGTCAGTAGTCTAATGTGCACATTTCTGATTATCAATTAGCCAGTTCTTAAGCTGACCAGTAAAAGAACGATAAGTCTTTGTTTCTCTTATCAGACTTGGCAATAGATTCCACTGTTTAGTTGCAGTTACAGAGAACGCTGACTGACTAAAGGCGCTTTTTCGAGTGGGAATGATACAGTCCCCTCTTGTGATACCTCTGGTGACATGAGTGCCTGCTCTCTGCATAACAAATCTCTTCAGTGGAGGTGGAGCCGTGCTATGCAATATCTTATAAACTAGACAAAGGTTACTATAAGTGATCAAGTTTTCCCAACTCAGAAGTCTATGGGTATTTAAAATTTGACAGGTGTGAAAACTATTAGGTTTCTGAACTAAAACTTTAAGAGTACGTTTATAAAGACTTTCAAGTGACTTCATTGTAGACTTGTTAGCTTGTGCCCAGCTTGTCAAACAGTATGTAAAATGCGGGATAATCATGGCATTCATATATATCATAGCAGTTTCAAAGTTGAATGATTCCCTAACAAATCTGAAATTACTTAAATTAAATCTAACTCGTTTGCACATACTTTTTACATGAGTTCTAAAACTGAGATTTGAATCAATCCAAACACCCAGATACTTGTATTCAGTCACAACTTGCAAATTTTGACCTGATATCATTATGTCAGGGTCTGGAACGCTACATGGTCGTTTTGAAAAGAACATGCTAACTGTTTTACAAACATTTAACGTTAGACATGAAATGTCAAGCCATGTAGTGATATAGTTCATTGCACTGGTTAGTTTTAAAGCAGCTTGCTGTTTTGTGCTGCTATGTACATAAATAACAGCATCATCAGCATATAATAGGATTTCTATATCGGGACAAACTAAAGGCAAATCATTAACATAAAGACTGAACAGCAATGGCCCAAGTATAGAACCTTGCGGAACACCAGTATTATTTGTATAAGCAGTGGATTTATGATTTTGAACCTTTACATAATTTGTTCTTCCCTTTAAATATGAATCAATCCACTTAATGGTATCATTGGAAAAATTAAAAGAAGCTAATTTGTTAACAAGTATTCCATGATTCACAGTGTCGAAGGCCTTTTTAAGGTCCAAGAAAATTGCCCCCACAATACCACCCGCATCCATCATAGATTTAATGTTTTCCAGAAGGAAAAGGGTAGCAGTCTCTGTTGAATGGTGAGCTCTAAAACCAAATTGCATAGGATGCAGGCTAAAGTCACTGTTGTTCAAATAAAAAACTATTTTCTCTGAAACCCACTTCTCCATCACCTTGGATACAACAGGCAAAATGCTGATAGGTCTATAGTTACTGATAATCTGGGGATCTCCTCCTTTAAAAATTGGTGACACAATAGCAGTTTTCCATGTGTTTGGAAAAATCCCTTGAAATATTGAAAGGTTTATGATATTTGTAATGGTTGGAGCTAAGCAGTCCTTTAACGACTTGAGCATTATAGAGTCCATTCTGTAACAATCCTTAGCTTTGGAAGTCTTAAGTGTTTTAATTATCCTTAATACCTCTTGCTCGGAGATGTTACTTAAACAGAATTGGGGTTTAGAAGTTTGGAGCTGACAGTCCACCAAAATGTTATTCTTTGTTTCAGTGAAACTTTGAGTAATCTCATCTACAGAGTCAATGAAGTATCTTTTAAAGGCTTCAGCCAGTTCAAAGGGATCCTCAGATATTTTACCATGTAGCTTTAACTGTAGTTGCTTTGATGATCCACTGTTATTTACACCAATTAATTTCTTAATATGCTCCCAGATTTGTGTAGTATTACCTCTAGACTCATGAATAATACTAATAAAAAAGTTTGCTTTAGCCTTTCTTAATTCTCGAGTGACCCTATTACGTAACATTATAAACTTTTGTCTATCAATTGGCAACTTAAACTTAAGAAAATCTTTTAATACATGATCTCGGTCCTTCATCAGTTTCAGTAAGTCTGTATTCAACCATGGTAGACAGTTCTTTTTACTTTTTTTCGTACCTTGGGATGTTTTTGTAAACTCTTGTGCTATACTTTGAATTGTGTTTATAAATCTCTCACTATCTTCCTCTACCTTCCTCCCAGCTATAATTTCATTCCAGTTTATTTTATTTATAGTCATTTGAAAATTCTCAAGTTCACTTTTAGGAATTCTAGAATGCTGAGAATGATATTTATTTGTATTAAATCTATTATTTGTAAGCTTTCTTGAGAATAAAATTAGGTTATGGTCAGTTAATCCAGTAATGAGGTTATATGTTTTCTCAACTCTTTCTGGCCTGTTGGTGAAAAGTAAATCAATTTGCGTCTGTGAGGAAGCGGTTAATCTAGTAGGACCTTTAATTAGTTGTGTAAAGTCCATATTATCTGTAATTCTTTTTAAGGAATTCCTGTTTCTCTTGTCATCCCAATTTATATTAAAATCACCTAAGAGTAAAACTTCTTGTTTTGAATTACATTCTTTGAGTAACCTTTTAAATTCATCATAGAAGGTATTGGTAGAAGAAGGTGGACGATAGAGTAAAAACATAACAAAAGACATTTGTGAAGAAAGAGTAATAGTTAATCCAATACATTCCAGATTTACATTAGATAGTTGAATCTGGGTGCAGTGAATATTATTCTTCAGGTAAACCATGACTCCACCACCTCTTCCCTTAACTCTATCTCGTCTAAATAAATTATATCCGGGTATATTCAAAGCTGCCGATGGTGAGTTCTTATTTAACCATGTTTCTGAAAGACATAGATAGTCTAGATTGGAGTCACATAACAAATGTTTGACTTGTTCAATTTTAGACATTACACTACGGATATTTAAATGCCCTCCTAATAGTCCCCTGGGTTTCTTTTGGGGATCCCAGATTACTCTAGAATGATTAACTGTTTTAAAAAGTTTAAAACTGCGATGTTTTTTAAAAACGGGGTTTACAGGAATAGGTCCATGGATGTCTTTACAGTTACTACCGGTATGTTTGTTTCCTTGATGGATTTGTTCTCCCCGGGTGCAAGTTCGCCGTTTAGAGTTTGATGAACAGTCATTTCTTTCATTTTGTGTGTTAGAGTACTTACATTTTGCCGAATTCAAACCTCTTGGAAGCAAAGATCTAGTAGGACTACTTGGACGGGACAACGCCACTGACAAAAGTGCGCCTGACGCTGCAGGTAAACAAGCACCTCTAGGACAGATATCCAGATCCACCGCCATGCCCGTTGCGTTCACCAGCAGACACCCACCGTCCTCATCATTCACCGTAGCCATCGTGCAGCATTGTTTATCCTCATCTGTAGCAGCAGCTGCCATGTGTTCCCGACTCTCTCCCTCCGCCGCAGCCGCCGCGCACTCCCAGCCCCCACCACCCGCCGCAAGCCGCACGGCAGCGCATGAGACATCCACCGGGCTGGGCGTCGACTCCCCGGCGTGTAAACAACAGTAGAGGGAAGAGACACTGTGCCTCCGATCCACAGGCCCACCGGCGAGGTCTCTGCAATCCTCAACTTGTTGAAC